ATTTATGCAGATTTTTCATTATTTAATTTCTTCAAATATAATGCAGGACTCTAACATTTTGTGGCAACAGTTTGAAAAGTGAACCGACATTTATGAGTCCGACGCAAAATGCCAAAACGAAACTAATAGTCCTTCGGGATTCAAATCCCTTTGGACTAATAAACAAAAATAACAACCCTTTGGACTAATAAACTAATCCCTTTGGACTAATCCCTTTGGACTAATAAACAAAATTAATCACGCGCTGCATTGCACGGAGATTAAAACAATTTAATTTATAATCCAACTAACATTAGCTATTTAAATCCAAATCCGTAACACTGCCCATTCACAAGGACTGCACGTCCCGGGCAGTCCTTGTGAACAATAAGTTCAATAACTAACTTAAACTAATCAAGAACTAAATACAAATCAAATATACATTTAGAAACAAAAAAAGACCATGGTCTTACACTAATTACAATTATTTACACTAAGTACTATTACCATAGTAATGAGCTAACCTGTCGTAATGAACGACTTTAGGTTTAGAGTTCGAAGATTTACGGATTCGAACCACAACATCATTCAGCCTGCTTAATAATGTGTACGTACCATTCCAAGGTGACTGTAATTTCGGACAGAGTCCTTTCCGTCGAGTCGGATTCCACAACCACACCTTGTCTCCTTCGTGGAATTGATGTTCAGTAGCTCTTGTGTCGTATCTAGTCTTCACTTTCTCCGTCGCCAAGTTGACTCGCTTTCGTGCAGAACGGTGCATCACTTCAAACCGGGCGCGAACATCTTAGATGTATTCCTCAGGCGATGAAGGTGCAACCGGAGGGTGACCAAACAAAGGACCATATGGAAGACGAAGATCACGACCGATGAGCATCTTAGATGGAGAATAGCTGGTAGTCTTGCGTTTCTTTTCGACCCTAGTATGATTTCGGCAGCTTCTGAGCTGGGTCTTTCACACAAGGCGTCGGCGTCTCGAAGCGAGGATCCCTTCTGAAGATGGATAGTTGTGTCCTCAGAGTCCAATCCGAGTATGCATGGATCTGTGATATCCGCCACATAAGCCGTGTGATGGTAGGCGGCACTTCCAAACGTGATGCTCACGTTTAACTTCCCAGCTAAGGAGATTTCTTCGCCAGTCGCTGCCTGGAGGGTAACACAGGATGGCATCCAAATCAGTTTATCTTTAAATTGTTGAGCTAAATCTTTCCGAATGTTAAACAATAGCTCCTGTGTCAATGATCATATTGCAAGGAACTCCGTCGATATGCCCATTGATGAATAGTCCATTACTGTTGCCACTCACTGCAGAAACCTTGAGCGCTTTAAAAGGGTATTTTTCATTCTCTGGCAACCTCCGTTCCTCGATATGGTCACTAATTTGTTTCCTGCGTTGTTGCTGGGAAATAGTCTTAATTCCCGTGCTCTGGGGTGTTCTGCAGTTCCTTCGCACGTGGCCTTCAGCTCCGCAGTTCCAGCACTTTGCTCTCTTGTCACTTCTTTTCCGTTTCAGGGCATTTAATAGTATGTTTAGGTCCTCTGTCTTATTTTCCGTGCTCTGGGATGTTCTGCATTTCCTTCGTATGTGGCCTTCAACACCGCAGTTCCAGCACTTTAGGGTTGGTTTCCTCTCACCAATATTCCGTCTCAAGGCGTTCACTGGTCTTGTCAAATCATCCGTTATATTATCCGTGCCTTGGGGTGTTCTGCAGTGCCGTCGTATGTGCCCTTCAGTACCACATTTCCAACACCTTAGATCCACTTTGTTCTTACTCCTTCTCCGTATCAAAGCATTGACTTGTCTGGATAAATCATCTAAACGAGCCATCAATTGATCCACTGCTTCGAGGACTCACACAGCTCTGACTGTGTAGCGATTTCTACGAGTTGCTTGCTGAGCTGCCTCGAATTTCACGGCGTACAACAGAGCACTTTTCAAATCTTTAACATCCGCCATTCGCAGTGCTTTTTGTATTTCAGGGTCCCGGATGCCATCAATGAAATTATTGCAGGGACAGGATTTCCCATGTTTCTGTCGGGCACTGCGAAAAGGCGTGATGGGACAGCCTTTCAACATCTATGGCGAGTTCCAGAAGTGTTTCGGTGGGCTTCTGTTCACGGGATTTTAGTTGAAGCCTGCTGTAGTCTTTCAAACACTTTTTCCCAAAGCCCAGCTCCAAAGCGCTGGATGGAGCTTCAAAGTCTAATCTCTGGTCTTCGGGAAGAGTCTGCAGGATATCCGCTGCGTCTGCTCTCAAAGAAACGGCGAGATGGCAGGCCTTAGCCTGAAGATCCCATCCATTTGCTTCCGCCACTATAGAAAACTGTGTCTTATATATTTGCCAAGAGGTCTTCCCATCAAATGTCGATAGCTTCAGAGAAGGACGAGCAGGCATGGGTAGAAATTTTAAACCATCCCAATTGCTCCCTGCCGTTGCTAGGAATTTCTTTAAATTATCAACTTCTCTGCCAACTGCAGAAACCCTGTCATCAATTTGTTGTTTGATATGTTCTTGGACAACAAATACTTTTTCTTCAATCTGATGTTGGACGGCCGAAACTCTTCCTTCAATTTGTTGCTCCACAGAAGAAACTCTTTCTTGAATTTCTCCAACTTTATTTTCAACTGCGTCTATTCTGCCTTCCATAAAATCAAATTTGTTTTCTATTATGCAGGTAACCTCTTCCTTAGAGCTTTCATTCCTTTTTTAACGGATTCTTCCATCTTCTCATGACCAGCCTCCATGTTTTCCTGACAAGGTTTCATCTCATCTTTAACGGATTTCATCTCATCTTTAATGGATTTCATCTCCACTTTAACAGAATCTTTCATCTCTTCTTTAAATTATGCTTGGCCAGCTTCCATCTTTTCTTGGAACGCAGCAAAAGCAGTAATGAGCTGCCTCAATTGTTCCTCCATCGCTCTAGTAATTGGCATTCGAATCCCACTTCTGATAACAAAAATTGTTGCGTGCATACGGGTTCGTTATGAAATGAATGCACAAGTCCAATGAAAAATGAACAAAATTTATTATTATCACAACAAAAATTCTTAAATTTCCTCAGATATTCGTGCAGTATTACAATATTTCAAAGTAGTTATCTTTTAACTACTCAAACGTTCAAGAGAACTTAATTCAAAACACCTAAAGAAAGCTAATCCGCGAATTCGCTACAGTCAACAAGAGCAGTTTTCTAAACAAACTCTTAAAACAACAACAAACTAACTAACAACTAACTGAATTGAAATCGAAATCGAAATCGAGTCAATGGCTAGGCGGCAATTAGTAGCCAACCGCTACTTTAACCGTCTCTGTTGGTAAATTGCCCTAAGGCGTTGGTACTTAAGTTTTTAATTAAGGCGATTTACGCCGCGCCAACTAGGCGAAACTTGTCAAATTTTGTGAAATGTAGGTGGAGTAAGGGAGAAGATTGGCAGGAGCCTGTCACGCGGGTGGTCACCAGCTTACGCGTACAATGAGAAATATTGGAAATATTAATAATTATCAAGTTTTGAAACAGGTTATCTAGATTGGAATAATTAAACTAATATCACGATCTAAATGAAGACAAATGGCACAACTAAGTGCAAACAGATTAGCTAAACAAAATATTCAAATTCATCCTTTCTGTAAAAAACACAGATTGGGACAGTGGTAGTCACGTGGGAGTCACCCTCCCGTGAACTGTCCACAGCCCAATGCTCTTGAAATAGTAGATATCACAATTCAGTGAAGTCTTGGTCTGAGAAATTAAAACACATTAAATTTCTTGTACAACACTGAGGCACATGAGTTACTGAAACTATACACTATGTACGTATAGGGACGGCGGATATTTGACCGAAGTGGCAAATGGTGAAAAAAAACATTTTACACTAGCAATAAATAAATCAGAGCTTTGAAGATCCAGGTACACGGATCATGTAACTGAATTGAGAGGTTTCCCTCCTTTTATAAGATTTTAAATCGCGCGCGAGAATTTTCTGGAATTTTCTCGAAATCAAAAAGATATATTTATTTATTAAATATTAAATGCACGCGCTCTTGTATTTTTAATTTTCTGTCTTAGCTTTCCTTTAATATTCATCACGAGCTGCACTGCACGGGGAGTAAAACAATTTAATTTATAATGCAACTAACATTAGCTATTTAAATACCAAATCCGTAACAATATATTAAAAAGATACGGAGAAAGGGCCGAATCCTGTGGGACACCAGCTTTGATTACTCTGGTTGTTGAGCAAGCAGTACCAATTTTGATTCTGAATGTTCTGTTGCTGAGAAAAGAGGCAATTCAGAGAATACAATGATCAGGAAAATTGAGAGCGATTAATTTGTAAATGAGACCGCGATGCCATACCCTGTTAAAATCTTTCGTTCCCTAATGGCGGACCGTGAGCTGACTTCGGCTTAGCCACAACTAAGGGATGGAGGGTTACAACCATGCGAAGGGATTTAGAGTTACAACCATGCTTTCTCCGTAATTCGAACCCAGGCGCTTTGGTATGGCAGTCGGCTCCCTTAACAACTATACGGCGTAGGTGTTTAACATAAAAATATAACATAAAACTTGGAACACTAAAGGCAACAAGTTTTTAACTCATTGTGGCTACATAGCAAATCTTAATAACTATGCAAATTCATGTTTGCTATTTAAGAAATATTAATAATTATATGAAACATTATATTCCCACTACATTGTTCCCTGATCAGTAATTTTGTTACGATTTAAGAGATTCCGGTATGGAATAATATTACGTAAGATAACATTAGAACTAATCCAATAAATAAATAGCAATTAAACAAATTCTACAATAGGGGTTAGGAAAATTATTCAACATTGTTACTAAAACATAAAGGGCGTTTTATTTAAATTAAAATTTAAAGAAGCCTTAAATCAAACTAAAATTTAAAGCAGAACGAATTTTTCTTACATAAATAAGATTGACACTTTTTGATTGTTGGCAACATGTTTAACTTGAGTTGCTTGACGTATCGAAACGGTAATCGTAATTTGTTGTGTAGGTGTGGGCTGTCGGCATAAGTTGTTTACTATGATAAACATTCCACATTAATTAGTGGACTAGTAACGTCTGCTCCAATTGCTGTACAGTATTAAGCACAAAAGTGAGTATTATGGATTGAAGAACGTTTTTCTGTTTTTAGGTTTTTTTCATTTTCATAAATGACATTGTATACGTATAAACTCATGCAACATTTCAGTGCTTCAATAAAATGAAACGCACATTTATTGCTGTCTTATATTTTATTTTATTGAGCTGTTGATTTTGATTATGTGTAGAAGTGTGTGTCTGCACAGAAATGTGGAAGAAAACGAGTAAAATATTTTGCATTATTGTTTTTATGCCCTTAATAGATAAAGTGTGTGTGTCATTTAGTGACAGATTCATGCTCTTCGCAGCGTATTTTGCTCGTAGTTGGATTTCTAATGGTACATTAATTTAACACTTGTAATTTCTGCGCAGAGAATGTATTATAAGATTGAACAGTATATAAAGAAGTTGTGTAAGGTAGCAGAGTTATAAATATGAAATTGATGTTTGTGCCTGATCGTTTGTATTGCTTGGACCCAAGGGAAAAAAATTCATAATTAATGTTGAGTGTTTTAGTGAAAGTTATATTGTTCATTGGAATGCATGCTCCTTTAATATAAATGAATATGCAGCTTAAAATTTGTTTTATGTGTATAATTTATGATGGATTTTTGTAAAACAGTACGAGTTTTTATTTTTTTAAAGAAAGAAAAGTTTGGTAATCGCTGTTTATTTTACCTGTTAAAAATTAACTTAATAATGAAGTAAAGCCAAAGTACTTTGTTTTTACTTGTGCAATGTGAAGAGACCTGATAACAGCAAATATAAAGGCAAGTTATTATTTTCTGTGAATTAATAAAGAATGTGTCCAATTTGAAGAAAGAGGAATTTTAAGCAGTGGAAGTGTATTTATAGGTATTTTATGTAGACTGTCAGAAATTTCCTAAAGCTCAGAGACAAACTTTTTTTATGTAGCTGTAATGGAATCATTTATGAATTATCAGTGATATATATGGTATGATAATCTGGTATATCATCATACTAAGTTTTTCATGTATTTTTGAACATTTAACTTGAAAATTATAGGTCATTATAAGAAAATTTTTGTACTAAAACTATAAAAGAGTTTTGTGCTTTAAAACCTATATGTTTACAAAGTATGCTTTAACAAATGCAAGATGTACCAACTGCCATTTATAGCCTAATGCAGGTTTGCTCAGTGCATGTCTCAGTAAAAATATATTTCAGGGTACCTCTTGGTGGTTTTTTTGGCTCCATTCCTGTTTACGTCTAGCGTCCTTCTCAATAAAATAGCGTCCAAAACATAATTTAAAAAGTATATATAATCTCATTAAACTGCATTTTAAATCAAAATGGAAATGAAAATAAAAATGGAAATGCTTGTTATGTATTACAAAAAGGAAATATTGACTTATTTAAAATTTTCTGTTTCTTCGGTATGCGAGATGCACAGAATTCCTTAACAACATCCAAAAACTATTTAAAATTATCCGAACTAGAATCTGTACACTGCCATCAACACATAAATTCACAAAAGTAAAAATGAAAAATATTCTCTGTACTGCTGGACTGTCAATGGCATTTTTGTTGAAAATCCTGGCTAATCTTTGGAATATGGTAACAGGTAGTTTGGCGACATTTTGGTAAGGCAATAAAGGTTACTAGCTAGGACTTTAGCAGTGTACATGGATAAAGTCAAGAGTGTGCGCAATGCCATTTTTGTGCAATTCTGGATGTTTTTTAAGTGAAAATAGGTCGACGTGTACATGGATGATACCGTGTATGTGCAATTCTTAAAAATGCGGCAAGCAGTGGGTGATTCTGCACTTTCTCCCAATTTCACACCTAATCTTCTTCATGATTAAGCATTTGTGTTCCACAAAAGTTCTAGTATAAGCGTAATTCGGCTAGCAGATTGTTGGAAAAAATGTTGAGTAAAAAAAAAGTGCCTTTACTTCGTAAAATCAAAATAGTGTCCAAAACAAAACTAGCAGGTTGCTGTAGCAGGGTTGGTCGCCAAATTTTCACCAAAAAACTGCCAAGTTATCATAATCCAAAGATTAACCAAAATCCCTTTTTACTATGCCCCGCATGCCTTCCATAGTGTTGATATGAGCTCTGGTTTCCAAATCCTTGTATCTCACTGCGCAATTTACCAAGAGGTGAATGAAGTCATTTAAATCTTCATTTACACACTAGTCAGTCAATGTTTTATTTCCCATTTGTTCCAAAGCATACAGAAACTTCAGGTTAATCATACCACAAACAGGCATTTTTTGGTGGAAAGCATAAAATAAGCAGTGTACTTCCTAACCAACATCCAACGCATAAATAAGCAGTTACAAATATTTTCCTTAACTGTCAAAATCACCGCAATCACATCATAATAGGGTTTCCAAACCATTCAATATAAAATACTCAGGTTACTGTAAATGAAACAATGACTTGGCGATAATCGAAGGGGTACTCTAAAATATAGACTAACCCATGTTTACTTTGTAGTTTGTGTGCTTCTTTTTCAGTCCAATGCATTCCTTAAGCCAAAATTTTCATTTCAACTTGATTATTTAAAATTTGAAGCCTTTTTAAAAGAAAATAAAACTTATAGAAAAAAATGAAATATAGAGAAATAAGGAAAAATATGGGCTGAGTATGTATGATCCCTTTTCCATGACAGTACAGCTACTAACCAAGAAATGTGTTAATTTCACCAAACAGCCACGAAGTTCCAGGTGTTCATTTCTCAAGTCTCTACATACAGAAATTTTAACTTTTTTTTTTTTTTTTTTTGAGTTTAATTTATGCTAGAAATTTAATATGTAATTAATGTGAGATTGACCGAGCACAGGAAAGGAAAAGAAAGAACCACTTTGTTATTTTCAACCTAAGATATAACAACTGTCCATTAATCTTTTTTTTTTTTTTTTTTTAAAGTAATATGTCCCTCCCATATGAACTTGTTTGTACTTAAGTGCCAATAAAATGTCAACCTGTTTCATACTGAGCACAGGAAAGGAGAAGACCTTAAGAACAATAACTTTGTTATTTTCAGCCTAAGATATAACCCTTTTTTTTTAAGTAATATTTTTTAATGGAAATTTTTTTGTACTTAAAGTGACGATACCATAATTTAAATGTCGGCCTGTTTCGTGCAATGGAGTGTTCACAGGAGGGCATTCACGAGAGACATAGGCCAAACTTTGTTGCTAGGCAAGACCTTATATCACAGACACTTATATAAGGATTTTATCTAAATATGCTAACTATTCAACTTTATGGTAACCTGGTATGAGAACAAACTAATTACCAAGAAAAAAACAAAAAAAGACATTCAGTCAATGATTTTGCCATGGCAGTTGCATATTTATGCATGTGCATCTGTTATCTTACGTGATTGGTGAAAACCTTGTTCCACAGGTGTTCATGACATTGATGACTATACACCTTAAAGCAGCAGTTCTCAACCTTTTGATTAATGCTTACCATCTAAAAAAAATTGAAAAACTTTATTATCACCACTACATTTTACAATGATTATGACTTTTCTACTGACTCAAAACAGTATTATTATTCGCATTTGTAACAAAAGCAGCCATTTTCTATGCGTGATTGCAGGAAAAAATATGTAATAGTGTTTTTTCAGTTGAATCAGCTTGCTTCTTAGAGGACAAAGTTATGCCATTGTCCATTAGACGCAGGCTGATTTTAGGCACATTTGGAAGTGAAAAAAAGGGGCTAGGAAATTTGGTAATAAATTATGCATGTAATAATGTATTTGTGTTTGTCTAATGATTTTTGCAAAGATGCTCATTTTAAGCTCAAAGTATAACTCAAGCCATAATGCAAAGCTCTGTAGTGTATATTAATTCAAGAAACTTATGAGAAGATAAGAATTTTATTGATTCCCCCCCCCCTATTGAGATCATAGTGAAAATGAGTGACTAAACAACTGTGCATAAATAACAGTTTTATTTGTAAACTAATTTCAACATTCATAGCAAAATTTGTACATTAATGATAAATGTATTTGAATATTATTTGAATAGTATTTGATAAATGTACATTAATGATAGATGTATTTGAATGTGCAGAGGAAGAAAGGAAGCTGTGTGCAGAAATCAGTTTCAGCTGTGGTCTGTTTGTATATTTCTTCCATAGAGGAAGGGGGCTCCAGCAGCATTAAAACTATTGAATTTAAAACTTGGTAGTGAAAACATTATTATATAAGTATTCATATAGATTATATAGCCTACTTTCTAAGAAGAAAAGAAATATAAGTACGGTATTTGCCAGCATATAAGACGCACTTTTTTTCTTTGAAAGTAGGTTTAAAAAATGCAATGCGTCTTATACGTCGATACTGAGTCTTGTATGTTGATACTATGTTTTTGATTACATCCGTTTCTGGAAATTTTCTCTATTTGGAGTTATGCGTCCCCCCTTCTTTCCTTGTGAGGTATGAGAATATTAAAGTTCAGTGAAAGCGCTGTCATAGACTATATAGACTATATCACAGCTGGGTTCGTTTAAACTTTTCAATTTTCTTTAGCGACTTTTAAATGTGTGAAATTTCTACTGTTCAATTTTCTTAAATTTGTTGGCAAAGTTATGGCTCAAAAACAACATCGGCATTGCTATAACATGGCATACAAGCTATGTGTGATTGCGTATGCTAAAAAACATGGAAACGGTTGCAGCGAGGTATTTCAGGCCACCCAACTGAGAAAATGATAAGAACTTGGCGGAATCAGGAGGAGGATCTAAAAAAAAGCAACTTGCAGTAAACATAACCTATGAAGGAAAACTGCACAATGGCCTGAACTTGAGGCAGAGCTAAATACTTGGATTTTAGACCACACAAAAGCGGGAATTTCAGTCTCTACAAAAATGATTATTCATCAAGTGAAAGCGATAGCAGCTGATAGAGAGATTGCCGATTTTACTGGATCAACATCGGGGAGTTCACGATTCATGAAGAGAAACCATCTATGTATGTGGACTAAAACAAAAATATCTCAAAACATGCCAGACAAATATGAAGAAAAAATTACT